AACAAATTAAAACAAATAAAGAGATCATTCAACTTGAAACATACTAATTCCTATTCAAACTTTATTCTCTGTACTATGCAAGGGCTTTACTATAGAACTCTGCCATCTACTGTCTCTTAATCTCAATAGGCTGGTTATACAATATTGTTAATTCTTATTATTTTTGACAAAACAAATTCTAAGTCAGTTTAGTATATATATTTTTTTAAAAAAAATCTGCAAACAAGTGATGTAATTCTCCTGGGAAATTTTTTTTAGACATTTTAACACTATATTCTCAAAATTAGTTCAATATTGTATAAGAGACATTCCTAATCCATCTAGGTATAGCGTATAATTTTTACTTGTCCAAAGGGATGTGCATTATTTGATTTATTTTTAAACATGTGCCAGCTAGTGCAGGGATAGGCAACCTTGGTAATTTTATGACTCATGGACTTCAACCCTCAGAATTCCTGAGACAGCCATGCTGGCTCAGGAATTCTGGGAGTTGAAGTCCACGAGTCATAAAAGAGCCAGGGTTGCCTACCCCTGAGCTAGTGCATTCTTTTTACATCAGCATGTTCCAATACATTATAGCATGCAAATTTATTTACTGAAAAAGCTGGCATGGTCATTAATTGAATGTTAACAGGTATATAGGCAAACTTGTAATTGTTTCAAACCATCCCATACCTGCAAAATTGGCATAATTGAACTCTTACAATTCATTAATTTATCTTTTAATTTACTGATTCGTTTTGATTTAAATATTACTTCGTCTAGCAAATTCATCTTTGAATCTTATTTATCTCTGCTCCGATTTGCTCCTTACTTACTATGTAAATTCTTTCAGCACATAATTCTTATTCCTTGCTTCCCGCTCCTACTTAATGGCCCCTTCTTGACCTCACAACTAGTTGCTAGGCTATTGAAATGCAGAAGCTTGGAAGAAACTGAGTTCAAAGGCTTGTGGGTCATGAATGGCATTTCAGCATGTAAGTCAAGTCCAAAAAGCATTTTGGGATCATATTACAAAAATCATACCCCAAGGACAACTCTGATAATTAATACCACAATGAATGAATAACAAACAGGCTAATGTGGAAGTTGAATTCCAAGATGACAACTCCAGAAGGAAAAGTTCTAGGTACAATGGAATTGTACTGCCTGATATTTTTCAATTGAACAATCGGAATAGAACTGAAAGGTTCCTTGTAGGTCTTCTAGTCCAATCCCCTGCTCAAGCAGGAGACTCTATACCAGTGGTGGCGAACCTATGGCACACGTGCCAGAGGTGGCACTCAGAGCCCTCTGTGGGCACACGCGCCATGCTCTGGAGATGGCAACCGTCCCTCTTCAACCAGCTTCCCGCTAACTCGCCGAGGTCCACGTGGCTGGATGCATCCCAGTACCCATGCGCTCACTGGCCTCTGTGTGCAGGGGCCGATGGTGTCAGGTAGCAGCCATCCCAGCCCCTGCCTCACCTTGCCTGCGACAATGGCTCCCCTGCCCTGCCTCGCCTTGCCTTGTCTCACCCCGCAGATAAGCCTCCTGCCCACTGCCCCAACTGCCAGAGACCCCCTGGATTTCCTCCAACCCTGCCCGGCCCCCACAGGTGTCCCTTCCCACGAGCAACATCAAGGTTATCACGCCCACCTTGGCCACACCCACTCAGTCTGCCATGAGCACCACAGCCACGCCCACCCAGTGGGCCACACCCACCTGGCACCGGGCGATAAATAAGTGGGTTTTGGGTTGCAGTTTGGGCACTCGGTCTCTAAAAGGTTCGCCATCACTGCCCTATACAATTTGAGAGAAGTGGTTGTCCAGTCTCTTCTTAAAAACCTCCAGTGATGGAGCGCCTACAACTTCTGACGGCAAGCTGTTCCACTGCTTAACTGTTCTCACCGATAGATAACACATCTTGTAATAACTTGGGTACCCAGACACTTGATCTTCTGCCATGCAACATTATTTCTAATATCCCTCTACTTTCTGTCCCCTCTACAGGTATCATACTAGAGAACATGTAGCGTGTTCTCTTGATCTTAATTGTCACAAGCATCAACACAAATAAAGAGATGAAAGGCAAGGCTGATTTACAAATACAGTGATGCAATCTGCAAAGTTTGTTAAGAAAATTGTTCGAAGCATGCCTGGGCAGGAAAATTAAAATACAAAATTTGATTGATAGAAATGATTAATGCTGCAATCATATAGGGCAGTGGTTCTCAACCTTTTTAATGCCGTGACCCCAACCGGTCGTAAGTCGAGGACTAAACTGGTCGTAAGTCGAGGACTAAACCGGTCGTAAGTCGAGGACTACCCAACCGGTCGTAAGTCAAGGACTTTCCCTGCCCAGGAGCGCCGCACATGCGTGGTTCCACCCCCTGCGCCGGCCAAGGCATAGCTGGCAAGCGGCAGAGACGGAGCAGGCCGACCACCAGCTGGCCCAGCTCAAGGGAGGTAAGGCACCCACCGGAAAAAGGGGGGGAAAAATGGCGGACAGCCTTGCTTGGCGACCCCCGTGAAATGGTCGATCGACTCCAAATGGGGTCGCGACCCATAGGTTGAGAACCGCTGATATAGGGGAAGACCGAAAATGTAGACCACATCATTAATAACTCACCAAACTTTGTCCAGTGATGGTGTAGGCTTCGCTGGTTCCTATCGGGAAATCTTTAAAGCCACATCACTAATGCAACCACCACCCAGCTCCAGGGAAGAGCCAATTCAGTTATGATGTTCACTCAAGAGGAAGCAAATGGAAATTCTTCCTTCAATAGTTTGACTCACAGGAATATATGCATTAAAGACTGCTAACATTGACCAGAATGAACATTACTAAGTCAATAAGAGTGCAAGCCTTTATTCATTGATATAGTATTTTAAAACCAGAGGCAAATTAAAAGGAATAAAAGAAAAAAAGAAAAAAGGAAATGAAGTTGTCTTCAGAAATAATTGATTTCAATCACCTGCCTCCCTGGCACAAGGGCTGTCACAGCATACACGTTTCTACAGTTTGGATCAGTGTTTGAGACATAAAATTAAATGTACACCACGTCTGAGTCCACTGATCCCCACCTGACTTTTATGGGTTACATTTTCAAAGAAAGTTTGGGTGAATTAGAAAACCAAGCCAATTTGACATCCATGCTTTCAAACATCTCGTGTATTGTTCATTACTTATTTCAAAGAAGAACTCGTGTTAATATTTAAATGTTGTTTAAAAAATAAGGAAAGGAAATTACCATAGGTATATTTTCTGAAAGGCGGCAAAAGTTCTGTCCTTGATGTGATATCTAGAGGGGGAGCAAAAATGAAAATCAACATTGTTTTCCCTGACATTTAGTAGTGTACGTAAGCACCTGGACCATTATCTTAGACCAAGGGTAGGCAACCTTGGCTCTTTTATGACTTGTGGATTTCAACTCCCAGAATTCCTGAGCCAGAATTCTGGGAGTTGAAGTCCACGAGTCATAAAAGAGCCAAGGTTGCCTACCCCTATCTTAGACCAGGAGAAAATAAAGCTGTTTTTCAATACCAATCAAAATGCACCAAATCCAATGAAACTCACTTACAAAGAAGTATAAATACATAGCTATGAGATCTTCTCCAAAAGAGACCAATAGGTGCAGCACCTAATCAGCTTTTACTGGTCTTAAAAGGTTAAACAGGGTCAGACCTGGCTAATACTCAGAGGGGAGCCCACCATAATTATTGGCTACACTGAGAAAGCATCCCCCCCATGAAGGCAGTGACAAAACACTCCCATGTCAAGAAAACTGGATAGCTGCATCTATGTAGAGATCAGGGACTGAGTCAGGCCGATGAGGATCGTCATATTGTAATAAAGACATATTCGAGGCAGGCTTGATGTCTGCTGACTACATTCCACAGAATCTTCAGCCTGGAAGGTTTTTTGCCATTTTTAGATTTGGCAGGTTTTTTTTTTTCACTTTTACATCCAATACAGGTGGTTCTCCATTAACAACCACTCATTCAATGACTGTTTGAACTTACAACAGTGCTGGATGAGTGGTAGCTATGACCAGCTCTCATACCGATGATGTCACCGTGTCTTGGAATCAAGCAGTTGCAATTTAGAAGAGCTTTCCTGCCGGTTTCCAACAAGCAAAGTCAATGGGGAAGTCGGCAGGAGGTTGCGAATCAAATCACAGGTTTTCATTGAATGGCCCACATAACCCTTCCTTTACAACAGCAATCAGGACTGTCATTGCTATTGCTATTTTTATTTTTCAACTTATGCCCCTGTCATTTAACAGTGGAGTTTTTGGTTCCAATTAGCACTGTGGGGTCTTTGGTGCTCTCTGAGCTTGGTTGTTTTCTTGCAGACCTTTCATTACTCAATTAGAAAGCATCATCAATTCAAGAAAGGAATGGAATTTGCTCTCATTCTATATACTAGTCGCAGGGGTAGGCAACCTCGGCTCTTTTATGACTCATGGACTTCAACTCACTGTGGGTGAGGGCAGTTTTGGTGTTTTCTTGATCGGGCTCTTGTTTACTGTTAGCTTGTTTGTCTGAGTTGTTAGTTCCTTGACTGGGATATTGTTTGCTTTTTGACTGTTAGCATTGTTAAACAAGGACCATCCGTAAACACAGTGAACCCACAAAATGGATGTAACAATTATGTTAGATTAGAGACTGAAATTTTATAATTCAAAATCTGCCACGACTTGTTTTTTTGTGTGTGTGTTTGTTTGTTTTGAGCCTTTGAGTCAATGTTGACTCCTGGCAACTGCCTGGACTGCCTGCCTGCATTTTTCTTGGCAAAGTTTTCTAGAAGTGGTTTGCCACTGCCTTTTACTAGGGCTGAGAAAGAGCGAGTGGCCCAAAGTCAGTTGGCTTCGTGTCTAAGGGAGGACTAGAACTCACAATCTCCCTGTTTCTAGTCTGGTGTCTTAATTAAACTGGCTCTCCTAATATCTTAACATGTGATACTGTAAAAAACTTGCCTTGTAAATTGATTATCCCTGAGAAAGCATATATTCTGAGAGAAATCAAACTTTACTGAGTTTGACTTTTCCAAATCATGGTCCAACAGAAACACTGTAGGAACAAGGGAGATAATATATAATCAAATCAGACAACTGGCCCAACCAACACATGACTGAAGTCCTGGCTGGCTGACTGCAGCACTGTGTTTCTGGGGATTTTGTTTCCCCAGCTTGCCTAAAAATGCATTTTACATACAAAAAAGTACATGCTCCAATTCTTCTGCCAGAGAAATATCAGCAAACTGCCTTTTCCCTTTTCCCCCACCTGTTCTGCCAATTAATCTTTCAGTACACTGACCAACAAAGTCAACCCTCATAGCTTCTTACCCTTCTTCACAAATGTAATAAATTCTTTTACAGTCTGGTCCAGGTTAACATTATGGTACACAACTGGTCTGAAATTACGATGCTCAAAAGAGCGAACAAGACGAACGGTAACTATCACACTTTCGGATGACATGTGAATTAACCGCAATTTACCTGGAAGGCAAAAAACATAATAAAACATTGAATTATTGTCTTTAAAAGAACTGGTCTTCTTGGAAAATAAGAATATAAGAGATCAACTAAGAGGCATAAAGAGATTTTTAGAAGGTTCATAATTATTTCATTCATTTCAGTAATCCTTATTTTAGAAATTTAGAAACATTTGAATAGTACTTTAAAAAGAAGCATTAAAAGATGCATAAAGAAAAGGAGCCCTAAAACAGTGGTGTTAAAAGAAAACTACTTAGTGGATACTGGCCTACCCTACCTTCACATTCTTTCTCTCTCTGGCCACTACTTTCCCTTATCCTTTCCTCCTTTCCCCCTTTTATTTTTTTAAAAAAACTTTAACGATCTTCTCAGTAGATGCCAAACTTTATATTATATTTCATATGATGCAGGAAGTTCAGATACAAGAAACAGATTTCATCCATCTTGAGACAGGATCCTACGGTTAACCTGATCTGTCTTGCAAAAGTCCAAACGACCAGTAGAGGGCAACAGAGAGGCCCTTCCATTTTGAGCCACTGTTTTGCTGCGATCTAGCGATCGTCCAGATTCCTTCAGACCACTCTGGTACCTCTAGTGCAGGGGTAGGCAACCTTGGCTCTTTTATGACTCATGGACTTCAACTCCCAGAATTCCTGGCTGGCTCAGGAATTCTGGGAGTTGAATCCCACCAGTCATAAAAGAACCAAGGTTGCCTACCCCTGCTCTAGTGAGTGCAACAGTAATCCAACCATTACAAAAAAGACTATACAAGACTGGATAGGTCGGTCATGATAAACCAAGCGTCATGTGAGTCAGTACAGAACGGGGAGAGCATTCTGATCAAAATACAAAGTTCCTATTTGCACGTGCATTTCGGCGTACGCGTGTGGTGTGTGTGTGTGTAATATATCTATGCATCATAGAAGCCTCATGCGAGCTCATGACTACAGTAAGAGCATTAAAACTATATGGAGCAGCGTTTAATTGACTTATTTTACCAGTAGAAGGTAATACTAATTTCTTTATTTATTTTTAGCCACCCAAACTCTAAATGGGCTCTACTTAAAAATGCCCACCCAGTTGCACGCACCGGAGTGCTTTCCCACCTATGAACGCCTCCCAACTCCAAGCACCCACGTCTCCTTCAGCTTCATAGCAACGCGTGACATTGTGCCTCCGAAATCACCTGCCCCTCTCCGTGACAGCTTCGCTAAGAATCCTGGTTTCCTCCCAGCCGAGTCGAGAGCCTCACTTCCTCGCCTCGCTCGCAGGTTCGCATATAAAGCGAAGTCGCTCAAATGAATCCCGCCCTTGCCTTAGAATCACGTGACTGGAAGGCTTCCTCCGCTGGTTCCTCCCCATCGTCTGTCATTTCCTGATGGAGAAAAAAGGCTCGTCTTCTACTATTCTCCGCCCCTTCGCACTAGCGATTGGCTGCTCCTCTTAATTTTCGCGTTCCACCCAATGACAAAGCTTAGAATTCCCTTTTCCTTTTTGCTACTATTCTCCGCCCCTCTCATCAGCGATTGGCTGCGCCTCAATTAAAGACGCAAGGTGGGTTACTGTTTCGGATCTTAAGGGAAAAGGAAAAACGATGATAAGAGGCGGGGAGAGTAGTCGCTAACCGACGCGGAGAATTAAAGACGCAAGGTGGGTTACTGTTTCGGATCTTAACCCTTTTCCTTTTTGCTACTATTCTCCGCCCCTCTCATCAGCGATTGGCTGCGCCTCTTAATTTTTGCGTTCCACCCAATGACAAAGGTTAGAATTCCCTTTTCATTGCCTTGCTTTGCGATGAAAGGTGTCGCTGTCCTTTCTTTCCCTTACTTCGATGACATTTTTTTTTCAATGATCTTTCAGGGGGAATGTTACGCACTTGGTATCTATGCCGATGTTATTGTAATCCACTTCGAGACGTCTGTTAACAATAAAAATAGCGTTAGGCGCCTATTTAAATTAAAGTACTTCCAAATAATTCCACTTTCTCGCCACTTGCCACTTTCTCACGTGATTGGGGTAGGTTTCTTCTTAGCCTCCCGACTGAGTTGCAAAGCTGGCTGGGTGATTTTGAGGCAGTCACTACTCTCTCTCAGCCCAACCCACTTCACAGGATTGTTGTGGGGGAAAATGAGGAAGAAATATGAGGTACGTCTGCCACCTTGAGCTACTTATAAAGTAATAAAAGCGGCATAAAAATCTAATAATAAATAAAACGAGGATGCAGCAAAAAGAGCAATTTACAACAATCCTACCAATCAGTGCAGTAATATGTTCAAATTTGAAAGTAAAGTCTAAAATTCTCAAATAAAAATAAAATATCATCCTTACACCATTGTACCGTTTACCCATTTTTGCAGTTTCTCCATCCTCAATGCTCTTAAGTTTTGTGATCCCCTTATTTAATTACAAATAAGACCTGGACCAGAAGATAAAGATTGCTGTCTGGTTGAGGATGACCATGGTTTAAAAAAATACTAGAATTTTTTCCACTTGTCTATCCGCATTATTATACATCCTGGAGAGACGACAAATCACACAATGTACATGAAGTCAAAACATTTATCTTGGTTACATTTGGCTTGATTTCTAAGGCCATATGCATCCGTGTCATAATTTCCACAGCATTTTCTGATTTGGCCACATGGGGTTCAATATTCCTTCCCCACTACAATGGACTTGGGTGGATGCAGAGTGACATATCAAAGAGTTAAACTCAATTATTTCGCAATTAGACCTCAGGTTCCTAGCTGCAACATGTAGTCTGCTTGCTAGAGGCTCAAGAACAGGAGGAACACACAAGAATTCCTGAAAACAGAGCAATGAAATGGCAACCTTTGCATCTTCATGAGAACCTCGCTATGCAGCCTTCATTGGAAGTGTGGACAAGCCATGATCCAAAATGCATTTAAAAAATGCATAATCCTAGGAATCAAAGTAGAACCTATGGTCGAAAAGGAGCTAAGAGGATTCGGGGACACAAAGTGGGTCTTTTGATTCAAAGACTCTGCTAATCTCTTTGGATTAAGCATATCATTAGAAATCTGTATTAATTTGGCAGTCTACTGTTCTTACATCCACTGTATTTATTGACTCTAATATTTTGATTGTGCTCTGATATCTTTTTTTATCACAGCAAATTTAGTTTTCAGTCAGTTTTATATCACTTGAAATCTCTGGGCAACAGAAGTTTCTGTTAGCAAATCAATGCTGTCACCTATTTTGTCCAGAATCTTCTAGTTCTAAACTCCCCCTATGTACACTTTCTTGATACAAAATAATCTAGGGACACTTTCTATGTCCTTAGGATCATCCAAGGCAGATTAGAGCCCTACATTGAAAAAGAGACATCAGATGTTCAAACTGACTTTAGAAAAAGCTGATGAATACAAGACATGTCAGTTCATGTTGGATAATTGAGAAAGGCAAAAATCAGTCATTATGTGCTTCACTAATTATAGAAAGGCCTTTGTGTCAATCACATCAAGTTGTAGAAAGGTGGGGGAGCAGAATCTCAGAACATCTCACTGTCCTCGTGAGAAATATATATATAGGTCAGGAAGCTTCAGTACTGACAGAACATGATGAAACAGACTGGCTCCAGATTGGCAACAAGGCACTTTCCCCTTATTTATTTAATCTATCTGCTGAGTTAGGGGAGCTGGATTACATAAAGATTAGCATGATTTTAAAACTTGAGAAAGAAACATGTTATGCTATGTTTTGCTAATGGCACTACTCCAATAGCCAAAAATGCAAAGGATCTGCAAGCCCTAGTAATAAAATTCAAGGAGCACAGTGAAAGGGGGACTAAAATTATAAAACATAAAGAAGATTAAACTAGTTAGAACCACCAGCCTTAGAAATAACAGTGAAGATATCAAAGTGGTGGATAACCTCTGCCTATTAGGATTAACCATCAATAGTAAAGACAAAAGCAGTCAAGAAATAAATACACAGCAGATCCACATTTGGTAGAGCAGCCATGAAGGCCTTGGAGAAGTTACTGCATTCAAATGCCATCATGTATCTTTACTTACAAAGTTAAGAATTGTACAACCTGTGGTACTCCCTCTGACACTCTATGGAAGCAAAACTTGAACCTTAAAGAAGCAGGCTAGGCAGAGTACTAATGCCTTTGAATTGTAGTTTTGAAAAGATTCCTGAGAAGACCCGGGACAGCCAAAAAATAAGAAAGATAGAAAGAAACCAATGGCTCATCAAACAAATTAACTGAGAGCTTTAACTCAAGGCACCAATAACCAGGCTCAAATTAGTCTATGGTACTTCAGACTCTTTATGTGGAAACCTACCTCTTTGGAGAAAGCTTTAATGGTGGGAAAGATGGAAGGAAAGGGAAGAAGAAACTTTTGATTATTATTTTTTAAAGGCCCCAAGATCTAATTTATGCTACCAGGTCTACAGTTTCCAGAGAATCAGAGATTTGTCTCAATGGCTTGTATTGCTGAGGGGGCCATTTTTACATGTCTGGGCTAAGCTCAAAGAAGACGCGGGGAAATGCAGTTAAGTTCAGTTCTTTATTTGCTTACGCCTAATAGGCAGAATCTCACCAGATTAAAGCTATAATCTTCTAGCCCAGTGGTTCTCAACCTGTGGGTCGGGACCCCATTTGGGGTCGATTGACCATTTCACGGGGGTCGCCAAGCAAGGCTGTCCGCCATTTTTTTGTCCGCCATTTTTCCCCCTTTTCCGGCGGGTGCCTTACCTCCCTTGGGCTGGGCCAGCTGGTGGTCGGCCTGCTCCGTCTCTGCCGCTTGCCAGCTACGCCTCGGCCGGTGCAGGGGGCGGAACCACGCATGCGCAGCGCTCCTGGGCAGGGAAAGTCCTCGACTTACGACCGGTTGGGTAGTCCTCAACTTACGACCGGTTTAGTCCTTGACATACGACCGGTTTCGTCCTCGACTTACGACCGGTTTAGTCCTCGACTTACGACCGGTTGGGGTCACGGCATTAAAAAGCTTGAGAACCACTGTTCTAGCCTATAAGATATATCCTGGGAAATTCTAGGGTGTGGCTACCCTAAACCTTTTCTTCCTTATCCCCATGGAGTTCAGGACTGCGCAATCTCATATATCGTGCCTCTCCCAGGAACGTGCTGCCTCAAGTGAAGCCACAGTGTGATTGCCAAGATTCCCCTCCCACTCTTTCTCCAGCTTCACATTCTATCACACTATGCCCATTGTTACTATTTTCGTTTTTATGTTATTTATTACTGTAAGGGTTTTTTTAGACTTTTATCTATGTTTCTATTAGCTCTTTCATTTATTGCTGTGTGCCACCCAACGCCACCTTTGGGGAGTGGGAATATGAATTTGATTAATAAAAAAACAGGACAAAAAGTAC